CACACAAACTGTTTTGGTACAGAAGGCACCTGATTAAAGGTAAGGAACAGGCAGTGCATTTAAAAGGAAGACTTGTTGCCTTAGTGGGTCACGTGACAGTATAATGTGTGTGGAACTTAGGCAGTCCATAGTCAGTATAAGCGAGAACGTCGGACGAAATCGATTATCGCTTAATTTCAAACCGAGGAGGGCTGGGTATGAGTCTGTGTATTATGGGATACACAACGCGAGACCCATACAGCCAGAAAGAGCTTAGCACATTGAAGTTAGGAAAATTCTCAAGTTTGGTGTTAATCAAGCCAATGTCAAACAAGATACCGTCATTATAAAACTTGAAAACTATAAAATTTAGATGACACACTGGCCGCTCGTTCATACATTTCTTGGTAAATTCTGGCAGTTTTTGAATGGCTGTATCTCGTTCAATATAGGCCCGATAAACGCCAAACCTCGGTTTCCTCTTTCTGAGTTTGTTGATCTTACGTTGTTTATCCAATAATAAACGGACTCATACCCAGTCTACGGTTTAAATTAGACAAGAAACACCTAGCTAGCGCCGATCTCACTGAGTAACTGAAGAGGACAAGTCTTTTGGTAGGATAATAATTAATTATGAGACACACTGATCATACATTCTGCTAGGATCAGCAGTTTTCAGAATGTTCCTGTTTGTTGTTAGCTGATGAAAAATGGTAACTTACATTCAACTCACCTTTAGTGTTCTGTTCAGTCGTTCCTACTGCCGTTTGCGAAGGCTGTGGATTAGGCGCCAGATCATTCTCAGCGATTTCCAAAGTCGCCATGAGCTTTTCGTGAAAGGTTTGGGCACGAGCCTCAGTCACGTGACAAAGCCCAGCCTTAACAGTCGAGTAGACTGGGTTACAGGTTAAGTTCAGTGCCTTGTTGTTAAACGCGTAAATGAGAAACAGAGCAGGTTGCCGTGTTTGGGTGTCTTCGGGGTCTTCTAACAACACACGTTCGAGCTCCGGCTGGAACCACTGGACGCACACTTCAAAATCGTTTGCCGTGGTTGACTTGTCTACGAATTCTAAAAAAACGAACCCATACAATAACTTAGTCGATCGGTATTTTGTAGGGGAAGGGCGCACTACCCTGTTTCATTAACATGAAGCACCTACGGATATTTTTTTACCCCCTGGATGGGATGCTAGTCTATTGCAGGGTCACCCAAGTTCAGGGGCCTGAGCGGAGAGAAAAAAGTGGAACAAAGTTTCTTGTCTAAGGCAACAAGGCGACAGGAAGCTTGAGTCCGAAGTTCGCAGTGTTAACCACTCGGCCACCGCGTCTCCAAAATCAATCACTGTAAACGAGCACTGATGATAGTGAGCAACTAAAATAAACTAGCACATTTTTAAAAGCGAAATCAAGTATAGCATAGCCCCATGGATTGCTTGGAAAAGAGTCATCAAAGTTCGAAATAAAGCACTAAAAACTAGCAAAAGCGACTCACCGCTTTTGGGGTAAAATGACAATTTGGGAATCATTAATTCTTACCAGACTTTTTCGAGGTGTCCTCTGTCATGTCCATCTGAAAAGGCTTGGTAACCATAGTCTGGATTCCTGTGACAGAGGGTCCGTAATTCGACAAGACCTCGGGTGGGTAAACCCCACAGCACTCCACTGCATAAGGGCCCAACTCGTTACTTAAAAACGAATGCATCTTGGAGAGTTTCAGAGCTTTATTGGAACTAAACAACGGCAGCACTCCAGCGCTGCTATTCATCACTTCCTCAGCTTCCGAGTACACTCCGAGGGCTGCATACGAGCACTGCCGACGTAGTACCGACAAATAGCCAAGCAGATGAAGCCACGTAACTTGTACGCGATTGGAGTTGTTTATGGTGGTTCCCATAGTGACTATTCCATTCTGAGCTACCAGAGCCCCATCTTCGGCACTTTTAATGACGTCATCTGTACCAAGAAGGTCAAACAGCGCGAATCCTGGCACTGAACTGGCGGCTTTCTCCGACAGCCTCAACGCAGTGATTTCGGGATCGCCCGTTAGGATACCAATTTTGTACTGCGCAGAGGACACGATACCGGCAGCCCGAATGGCGGCCCAGGCGGTTCTCAGTTCCTTGTCTAACTCTTTGTTTTTCTCTCGTGATTCTTTATCTTTGCGATCTTTTTCCTTCCCACTTCCTTTCTTGCTCATCTTCCGTTCTTTGCCAGGGGTTGATGGGGTCTCTGAGGTGCGAGCTGGTGTGTCTGTGGAACGCGAAGGTACTTCTGGAGTCTTAGGAGGCCTGAATTTGTTGGCGTTACTAATCAGGACTAATGCCATTTCCAAATACGCTTGCTTCATCAAGCTGGAGAAGAAAATAAAAATAATAATGAAAACACTTTCCAAAGAAACAAGCAGCGAGAGATCACGAAGAGCGCAAATCTGTTGCCATTGGCACAACCATGTTGCTTGTGTTTAACTTTGTCACAAATGTCGTACGCATAACAAGCAATCTGGTGCCAAACGCGAGATAGAAACCAGTGAAAAGCTTAGAAACAAACTTGATGGTCAAAGCGGGAATCCTGCCCTGTCTCTGTATGTAGGCATAGACAAGTGAAGATTGAATAGAGCGGTTGGGTTTGGAAGAAATCGAGCTACCGTAGGTTTCCTTGGAGTGAAATATGTATAAAGAAAATTAGTTGCCGAGAAAAAAAAAAATTAATAAAAGCTGAGATTTGAGTACCAGCCCCTCGAAGAATAATTTGAAACGTCGGTTTCAGAATCCCTTTGTTCAGTGTTGAAACAAACAGATAAACAAGTAAACAACTAATAGTTACGAGATAATTGACAAGAACACAGCTCTACAAGGGCAAAGAAAAAACACTTGGATGTGTGGAAATACTCACCCAAGGTCGTGATCAGAAATACAGGTGCACTGCACAGCTTGGACCAGAATGTCCACCACTTTACTGGGAGACTGCTGACCAGCCTGTAGCATCTTTCTTTGAATCTGACCTGCACCAAAAAAGGCGAGAAACTTCGTAACCGAACAAGTGGAACAAAAATATTTAAGGAAAAATAATAAAATAAAGGTGGGATTAGCTAAATAAAAACAAGACAGCTAACTACAAAAACAAAAACAAAAAACAACAACAACAACAACAAAATCAAACAAACCAGGAACACATGTCGTCACATCTATAGCACTCAGTAAAGAAGGTCAACTTTATATTTTTTTACATGATTTGTCATTTATAACGGTGACTAAGATGGGACGAACTACATACCAAGTGTAAATAACAGCTGTGCTTCAATAGGCTTCCGCCGACAAGCTGCAGCCCTTGCTAGCTCAAGTCCCAGTGACAGCTCTCTCACTGCAGCCTGCAACTCGGTTGCCGTGACGTCAGTAGGTGGTAGTTGTTTTGCAAGCGCTCTTCCAAGCCGAAGTTTTATGTCGATCAAAAGGAGATGCTGCGTGAAGTAGATGTTATGAAGTGGCATAACCGGGGATGATTCTATGAGATTCACGTCGCTCCCGAGCTGACTCAGCTAATACCGCAAGAAAAATGACGAGAAAAAACGTGATGTTTATGATGCAGTTACACGATTGGATAAGATTCTTTGAGATCATAAGAACAGTATGAAGAGGGTGAAATGAAGATCCTACAATAAATAGAGTGAGCAAAAACATGCAAGAAGCACGGAACAGTAAATCTTGAACAGTAGACTCTGTAGACAGACATTTCTATCTCCGATTAGTCTCCGTTATTTTGTTTGCACACGAGTGACTCAGAATCTGGCTTTAAGATCCTATCGCAAACTGCCAAAAACTCCGACATTATCGTTTGTTTTGTTACGTCAGGTTTTCGCGACAAATGGAACCTGGAACTTAGGTTTGGGAATGGAAATAACAACCCACAATTCCTTCAGGGCCTCAAGCAACACACGATTCAAGTTCTGTTGTTGTGAATGTCTTCGAAAACCTCTAGTCATTCTTCGCTTTTCTTGGCACGAAGCTCTATTGTTTCAGGACTTGAGCCTATTGTTTGTTGTTTGTCTTTGTTTTCTCACCCAAACCTGTTAGCTGTTCGGAAAGCTTTCAGGTGGGAGCCTCAGGTACAACTTGCTGGGTAGCCTGTTCCAGGTCTTTAGATGGTTTGGGGTCGACTTGATTAAAATTCTTAGCAACTCATGGGAATTGCAAAGTGCTTTTACACTCTTTAAGCCTTGTAAAACGTCCTTTACAGACACTCTCAGTTCTTTGATGTTATGGATAACATTTAACAACGTGTGAATTCAACCACGTACCCCACCCCTTCCTCCGGGTCTTAGGTAGACTACCCGCGGTTCACAAGTAAGGCTGCAAACAAAAATGGCGACAAAAAAGGCGACAGACATTGAAACATGGTAGTTCAGAGAAAGAACTTTCCAACTCTGACTTCTCTTCCCTATCGGAACAGGAGAATGCACTTGCACGGTGAAAACCAAATAGAAAAAAGATCTTGATCTGAGAGGGTTTTCGTCTCACAACGTTCGGCTAACACAAATGACACTTCTCGTTCCTAATGCCTTACGAAAAAAATACCATCCAGCTACCAAACTGTTACCTGATCTAGTAAATAGGCCATTGCTTGTTTGTAGGCGGACAGCGTGTTGTTCAGATACGATATCCCGGAGGTCATGTGAGAGGAAGGTCTGATGTCTGCGTATTGAATGATTGCCAAAACTAAGAGCAACTTCCCAGAGAAAGACAACGAAGGACTCTGCTCCAGTCGAGATATAATGATCTAAAGGGACAAAAGAAAATAACTGATTTAATTTGTTGAAGCTCAGTAGATTTGCTGTATTTGTTCTTGCTTTTGTTGCATTGAGAGCTTTAAGGGTGATTGACGGAAGATGAAGTGTTCGATTTCCGTTTAAAGCTCAGTGTTTCCTTTGTTAGTGCAATATTTAGAATCAGGTTGACATTCAGATAGATCGAATTCTGATCACGTTTTTGACGAGTCATCTGCTGAATAGAAAATCCTACCCTGAATGGCGTTACTCAACTATTGGCCTACCCAATCTGGTCATTTAAGTGATTGCCTAGCAAGATCAGGGTGAAGCAGATCGTGTATTAGTACCTCTAACGTTTCCAACAAATTAGGTCCCATCTTTCCCTGCTGTAAATTCTGAACTACACTCAGAAGAGAGAACTCTGCCATAAGCTCTACATCACCAAACGCCTCTGCCTCGTCAAGACCTGCAACGGATAATTGGTGTTTGAAAATTTTACCCCGAAGTAAACAAACAAACAAACAAACAAAATATTCAAATTAATAAATACGAGGTTTAAGAGTTCATCCATGAATTCGAAATTTAGTACCGACTCGAACGGGATAAAAAAAGTTATACAGAATAGTACTGCTAGGTAGCTTTCAATTGAATGATGTAAATCACAGACTCAAAAGGTAGGACCACCTTGTACAGCATAATGAACAGTACCACAGAAAAGAACTGCTCAGTAGCTTTCACTTAAATGGTAACAGTTTAGGATTTCATCTACAGACTCAAAAGTTAGAACCACCTTGTACAGCATAATAAACAGTGCCACAGGAAAGTACTGTTCAGGAGCTTTCATTTGGATGGTCAGACTTTTTATTTCATCCACAGACTCAAAAGTTAGAACCACCTTGTACAACGTACAACATAGTAAACAGTGCCATAAGAAAGTACTACTGAGATTTATATTTTGTTAGGTAAGGTAAGGTAAAGCCTTTACTGAAAGAGGGTAAACACGTGACAGTTATGATAAAACTGATAAACTTGTGGCCCTTAAATTTGTTGAAAGAGAAGTATTGATAACAGGCTATGGAAAATAATGCGATGCTCTTGTCAACAGTTCACTCGAAGTCCTGCTAAAAAGTTGTTAATGTGTTGCCAGAAGCCCTGCCTTCATCAACAATCCAAAGAATATGAATTGAGAGTCATTCTGCAAGATGGATTCACGTTCATTACCTTGTTGACAGTGATGCAGACACGAGCCAATCGAACTGGTCACGCTTCTGACTGAGCCGCCAAGTTTTCCCATTCCACTGTCCTCTTCCGCGAGTCCACGCGCCAGAGCCAGCCGGCACGTCAGCCACAGTCTCGCGTCCAGTCTACACCGCGCCTGGTTCTGAAAATAATGGTTTCCACCCCACCCGGAAACAGAACTCGGCGCGGATCGGACTTGGTTGGACATTAGAGACTGAGCTCTAGAAAATAAATAAATAAATAAATAAATAAATTGTAAGTATTGTACAGCAGGAAGTTTACGCAAAATTTTCCAAGCTCCAAATATGATTTTCTTCCTAACCATTCAATGCAAAACAAAGAGAGTTAAAAGTAAAAAACTTAACTTAACTTAACTTAAGTTAAAACTGATTTCATATTGCGATTAAGATATAGCTACAAATGTGGCGAGAGTCCTACTTTGTTCAATCTCTGTATCGATAAGACTGATATAGTACCGTTTCTCCAAATCCAGTTCATTCAAAATGGCAGCGTCTTCCAAGGCTCTCATGCAGGCATATACGATGTTTCCTGGTAACTGCATGATGCCGCTGACTGGCTATTTGTGCTGGTTCCAAAACGACAGGCAAAACTTGTTCCAGATCCACCGAAGATAAACTTAGCAGCCTAAAAGAGCGAAAATACCCAATGAACGCGGTTGAGACGCGTCGACGGGCTCACTTAGGTTTTCTGAAGCTGCCCTTCCACCCTCCCCTAACTCAACGTTAACATTTGCGTCTCACTGGGGGCAAAATGTTGGGGTTTGGGGAGGGGTAGGGGGCAAAGTTCCAGATACCTAAATTGATCCATAGAATGGGCGGTAAAACAGACAGTCCGTAAAGCAAATCTTGTCCCCAGGGCTTTTCCCTGCGGTCGAGGTTGTCATTGAAGAAAGCGGGAAAAGAAGTCGCTTGTTAAAAACGCGGGGAAATATGTTGCCATAAAAAGACGCGGGAAACTTTGCAGCCAAGTTGACACAAGGCGCTGAGGCCTCAAAATATCGAAAGAGCACTTTTACTTTTAAGACGTGCATTTGATCAGAGTTACTTACGTTCATCTTCCAGGCTGCCTTGATCTTGAGCATCAGTCAGTGATTCGCACAAATTAGTCAGAATTAATTCCGCGGACGCCAGAAGGAAACCCTGCAAATAACAAAAGTATAAGATATAAAATCAACGTTTAATATTGTAATAAGCGAAAACAAAATTGCAGCTAACACATTATACCTACAAAAAAGCAAACGCAATTTTACCCTGATACATGAATTGAAAATGCTTGTACCTTGGTCAGTTGAGGAGTGGCCGTGCTGGCATCGATAAGTTGTTTCCTTTGTGTGATTTGACTGCTTTTAACGCTAGTTACATCATCTGAAAAGACAAAATGTATTTAGAATATTTTGTCACATAAATAGGTATTGGTAGCAGTTTCTCAATCATGGCTTAATGTACAAGCTTGTACATTAATTTCTTCGTAAATTGAAGCTATAAGTTAAAGATACAGAGAAGAAAAATATTTCCCTTTTTCTCTAATATTTCACATCCCAATTACACTGTATATCGTTAATAATGCTTTAGACCTTGATTGGTTAAGACCTTTTAGTCTGTGGATGGCAGCATTTAAATTGAAATTATTAAGAAGTGCTTTCCTGTTTTTGTTGTTGTTGTTGTTGTTGTTGTTGTTGTTGAAGGTGTTTAACGAGTGATCAGTTGAATGAAAGGTATTAAAACGTTCTCTCCTGAGGTACAGTAAAGACTGGCATATAAAAACATGAGCATCAAGAACATCACGCTGAAAGTTGGCAAATAAAGCAACATTTATAGAACCAATTTAGCCTGATAAATAAAACATGCTCTTGTATATAAAGAAGGAGGATGCCAAAATAAGAAACCACCAATGTAGTAACTCATATTCAAGTACTGAAGTGTGCTGGACCATACAAACTCTAAGAGCCACACTTACCTCGACGTAAGTAATAAAACATTGTTGTTAATTAACCTATACTTTAGCTTACTTTATACATTGCAATGTATAATGTGAAGTTCTGTATTTCTGAAATAAATTTTAAGAACATTTCCAGGCAAATTTCCCACTAAGCACCCGGTAAATAAGAACATGATCAGCCTGAACCCGCCTGAAATCATAGGTTCTTCTAACCGGGTGTTTACTTTCTTTGCAACTCACCGCTGATTTTTTTCTTGCTGTTTTTCTTTCCCATTTGAGACTGTGACAGAGGAGGTATCGTCTGTAGCTCTGCATAGTTTGCTCTTCTTCTTTGCTTCCAAATAACGAGTGAGTCTAAACCAAAAGTATACTTTTTACTGGTCAGTCGATAAAACTCTGTTTGGTTCTTTGAGCGATGTAAGAGATGACCATACGATTACAAATATAACCAACAATAAATAATAGTAATATACGAGCGATTAACCAAATCACAAAATGTTTAATTTCGAGTTTAATTACAGTTCGAATTGAACGACACGAAGTTCCGTTACCCATTTATCATATAACTATAACACGATTTTTACATATTTTAAGTTTTTTTTTTTCCTAGTTAAAGTAAGAGATATTTTGAGAGTATTTAGCCAGCCGTAAAGATGAATGGGCCACCCTGTTTGCAAATGTTGGTAAGATCACTATTGTTTGCAAATACTGAAATTGCATAAACTAAATCCAATTCTTTTCTTAACTTTTTGAATTTAATTCGTGCATACGTTGACGCCTTCTATGTGGTTAACGCGTACGCCATGGCAAAATGTAAACAATGACGTCAGCAAAGATCGTACAACTTCTGTACTGGGGCGTGTAGTGATTCGTTCAGCATTAAAGATTTGTGAGTCAGTGGGATTGTTAGGATGTAAAAGAGATTCCGCCGTAGCGTGTGATCTCAATGGTAAAAACACTGAACTGAGAAAAGATGAGTTTAACAAATATCAAACAATCATCATCAGTTCTAAACCAATATCTGATCACGCTGTTTCCTTCAGAAAAACATTCTAGACTGAAACCTGTTGGATGACAGCCTTTGGACATTGTACAGGCTGAAATGCAACAGTCGTCTATCCGAAGGGGTGATCTCTTCACCGGGGCCACATAACATCATCCACCAGATAACCTCTCTAATGGATAAAATCGGCCAGGCGAATTTATGTAACTGGTATTGAAAATAAACTCTCTGAATATCGAGGAAAAAAAAACCGTTATCTGTAAAATTTGAGCTGGCATGTTGTAGCTTCGTTTCAATTACGTATTATTGCTATAAATTATCTTTATGAAGAATGTATGGGTTCATAAACGTTTTTTGTCACCCAGCAATTTGAAGCTTTTTGAAGGCTGCTCCTTCGTTTGTTATTAGTAGTTGCACCGTCACGCTTGTCACACAAGCGTTTGCCGGCTTCTTTCTCTCCTGTTGGGTAAGATCACATTGTTTCTGCAAAAGAGCCGAAAGTTGCATAAATAACCAATTCTTTCAACTTTGAATTTAATTAAAGGAAGGATGTGCACGTGACGCCTTCTATGCAGGTTAAAATGCGCATGCTCATGGTAAAAATGTAAACAATGACGTCATGCATTCGGCTGTACAACTTCTACTGGGGCGTGTAGTGATTCGTCTTAAAGCATTAAAGACTTCAATTCGGTCCTTTATTAGCAATACCATTATCATGATCACGCTGTTTCTGAACATGACAGCCACGGTGCCACATGACGTAATGTTGGTATGCCGCTAGTACAGAATTGTTTTGAGTATCTTACTGATCTATGTAGATCACGTGACACGTGTGTCGTGAAGTACAAACAAAGGGTAATCAATGGAAGAACCTAGAAAAGAGTAAAAGCCATTGTCAAAATTCAAGTAGTACAAATAGTAATCAAGACCACGACCTCTTCAGCATATACTAACAAATTATAACCTTGGAATGCGAATTTCGGCCAAACCATGTCAAGCTTCCAACTTAGATTCTATCATTGAACTGAACACTTGAGTCCGTTAGTCCTTTGTGCGTTCTCTCACGCATAATGAGAAGTGAATATTAGACTGCAACTTCTCTGTGTTCGGTCAACTTGACAAAAAAAAAGGACTCACGAACACGTTTCTATCACTGGCAGGTTGAAAAAGAGAGTTGAGTTGAGAGAAATCTTAACTACCTCGAAAGTAAATTCACTTCTTATTAAGCATGCAAGAATAAACACATGAATCTGAAATTACCAGCAACAAACGGATTCAATGTTTGTTCAAATAATGAATTCATCAACAAAAGCGATGGGGGTACGCTTGACCTGGAATGACTGTTATAACATCTATTTTATCGATGGGTGCTTTATATAGAAAGACTCACTGTGACTAGGTAACGTGCTCGGGCCAGTTCTTCAGTAATCCATCTCAACGCGGCCAGTATTGTTCGTCCGTTACTTCTGAAGGCCTCGGACAGAAGATCAATACCGGGTACCAGCTCCGCCACTTCGCATCCTGTCCCCACCTCATATAAGGCGTAATCCTTGTCCGCTGTAGGGTGGGGAAGGGAAGAACAGAACAAGGCCTGGAAATAGAAGACAGTCTGAGTATTTCATGTAGGCGCTAAGGACCGAGGTTAAGATAATTTGGTATCTATAGAGGAGGCGGGGTGTGGGGGAGGTAATAGGTTCCTGGTCTCTATCAGAAATTAATGTGAGAGGGTACACAAAGGAACAGCACGCGGTCTCATAACAAGATGTCCAATTCCTAGACTAGCTCCAAGAGACTCTTTTGAAAGTTGTTGTTTTTAGTTAACGGGTTAAAGGTTTGCTTGAAGGTTATAATGCCTGCTCAATAGACCTTTTTCACAATACCCGCCATCAATAGAGAATGGAAGCAATGTCACGTGGCTAATTAAGGGGCAAACAAATGATAAAATCTGCCAATACAAGTTATCGTGTTCAAGTCTGTTTATGGCAAATTATGGGTGGAAGTAATCATTGTTACTTCTTCGGATGCAGTTCGACTGCGAATGTCGTCACAGCAAGCAATAACGACGTAAAACGTGCCGAAACTCGAGCTGGGCAAGGTTGCTAAAAAGACGGTTACGTTTAACCCATGATTAAGCCAAAATTTACGCAAGATTTTCTTGTCTAAGAACATGCAACTCGAGCTTACAACATGCAGTTGAGCCTTTACCCCGAGATATAGTTATGATAACACAAAATGTTACTCTAAGCAATGCGTGGGAAGGGTATACAAAAAGTGGAACAAAATTTTAATCCTGGATTTGCGCTAATAGGACTTTCAGGAACCGGGTCTTGTGCATTTTGCAACACTAAAATCGTCACCTCGTTTTGAGAAAATAATCAAATTCCACCACGATTATTTGTAATATTATCACTTGTTTGCCTCATGGAATACCACGTGTCATTGCTTTTATCTTATCAATTCTAAAGCGTTTGCAAAGATGGCGGGTAGCGTGAGTAAGGTCCAGTCAAAAGGATAACGATAGAAACTATTGTCTCTAGCTACAAGAAAGGCCGGCCATTAGACACTTCTTCAGAATTTATACCTTGTAACTCGTTAAATATTTAACAGCCTAATAGGCAATCCAAAATGTAAGTCAAACCTTGAAAAAGGTAGCGGACAGCAGACAGCATTCTAAGCGAAGTCCAAGGTTTGATGTGTGAATGTATCTACGGGGAAATCCAGAAAATAACATGAATTGAATCTTATAGGTAATTGCAAACGGGCCATCTCCGAGTTCAAAAACTGTCGCTTTCAAAACAAGGCAAAGTTTAAGACCTTTCTTGTTGAAATGAGTTTTATCTTCATGGAAATAAAAAATTACTCCAAAATAAGCCCCTCAAAAAGGGCCTTTGAAAAATATAAGCCCTGGGGTTTATTTTCGGAATTTTACGCTATCCTAATAAATACACAATGTAAGCAAAAAATCATTATCGACATTCTTTTTAAAGACTCTGATTTTCCAATGTCCTTAGAGTCATAAGTCTATAGGATTGTCGGGTTTTGCTTGAGTTTGAACATCCGAAGATCCAGTACCCCAGACGTGACATACATACGTCTTGTTACAACTTAAAGTATTATACGAATAAAACTGGCTAGTGTCAGCTACACGCTTGCGTTGGAGGCTGCCCGAGTATCCTATAAACCATTGGTATAGAGTCTATACAAGCAGTGTAGGCGGCAATACCCGTTGAGGGGTGGGGCGAATAGACCGACAACATTTCATTTTCACTTTGTGTATCAGGTGGGGTTCATATTTCATTAAAGTTACTTACTGAGCAATATCAGCGGCTAACACGCCACCCAGCAGGCAACCCCATAAACCACACCTCTCAAGTAACGCAGCACAGGGTTTGATTGACACGTCAGATGATGACGTCAGATCACGCCACGTCTTCAGTGAGTCTGTTGTGTTTAAGATCGTGTCAAGTGACTCCGCCCACCACTTGTAAGTAGCCCTGTAATTTGTTAAAGAGCATGACATGTAAGTTTCTACGGTAATTATTTGTCTAAACTAGCCACGCTAAAACAGAATTCAGTTTTTCTTACACCGCTTGGTAATTTAGTTCTGTGATCACCACTTTCACTAAGATTTTGTCGGGTCACAAAAAACGAAGCGCAAGTTTAGTGATCATTTGTAAATAGACTTGAGTTTACCTCAGACAGAGATGGAAGAATTCATCGCCTTGCCGTTCCCGTTCTCAAGTGAGCCTAAAATTTGGCCGTTGCACGTCGTAATTGTGACAGGGACGGCAAAGAAATTTACAAAAAAGCCTGACGCATGTGCAGAGTTGTTTTGACGTTCCCGTTGCCGTTGCCGTCGTAGTTTCGTAAGCTCTCTAATAACAAAAACCTACTAACATAAAAGGCGTATGGCGTGCGCGCTAGGATCGCTATGCATTATGGAATAAAGATTGCGACGAAAACTTCGTCCGTAGGTGAGTTTTCTAGTTGTACTATGTCAACTATAAAATGAGTATTTACCTTCTTTCTTGCATACGAGTCTCTTGAACAGAGTTGAATCTTTTTTAGATCAAAATGCTAATTTTTCACAATGTTGTAAACGGTAAACGCATTCGCGTTTATCAGTGTTGGTTGAGGTGAAAGGATGCTATTTACAAACCTCATGTTTCCACTGTGGAACATGATGTTTCCCAGTTCGTGCATCGCTTGTGCAGCAAGACTTTTCTGTTTGCGAAACTGCAACATTTCTAAAAAGTGACACAATTTTAAGTTCCACTAACCTTTAAGAATCCTATCGCATTACATAAACTACCCTAAATGTGGGAGCTCTGCATGCTTTGTGGAGAATAAATATTCAAGTATAGTATTTTTAGCTAGCATCGAAGTGTTTTGTTTGTTGTTTGTTTGTTTTTTCTTTTTCAACAGCAATAATAATAATTAACCAGTTAAATTAACACATATTCACATCGTAGTCACGTGCAAATGCGTTGTTTAGCTGCCCATTACTGGAGTGCAAAAGTGCAGTTGTTTTCACATCGAAGTCACGTACAGATGCGTCGTATAGCTGTTCATTACTCACGTGCAAAATTCTCACTTGGTCTCAATACCAGTAACATTATATAGAGTGTCATACCAATAGTCTTGTCATACGATGCAATAACCACTGCTAGCTGGGAAGGTTGCAACGTGAACGTCTGCACATCTTCAACACCATCAAACGACTCCTTTGTTAAATCCACAGGGACGTCTGTGGGAGGCTTAACCTGGCTGGGCAGGAAGCCGACTCGGGATGACCCGCGGTGTAAACGGGTGCTGGATCCCCCTGTTTATAAAGGCACAAGGAGGAAAGATTACGGGTTAGGGGTACACTGTAAGCCCGTACAGGATGACCCGCGGTACAATCGAGCGCTGGAACCTCTTGCTTATATTTACACAATAGAGAAGGATTACAGGTTAGGGATAGGCGGCTTGGGAGGAAGTCATCAAGGGAAGACTCGCGAAGAATAAGAGGTGGTAAGCTGATATAGTATAACCCACAATGCATGTGATACGTGATGCATTCTATCCCTTCTGGAGTGAAATGTGGAAACTAGCTTTTTGTTGTAGTTTTCTGTCCTGGTGACGAAGCCTTCATAATCTCACATGGTTCTACGATTTTCTCTTCCGTATCTTACGGGTATGAAATTCGGCATGGCTCTATCTTTGGGGTCTAGGGGGCCACATCTCTACAGTAAATCCCCTTATCATGTGTCTCACCTTCCTGTTGACCAGCGAGATAACACAGCAATAGCTGTCGACTGTGCTCCAGAGACCGTGCGGTGTGGTGCTTCAAGTCAAGAGCCTGGTGTAGAGCTTGCAAGCTGTCACTTATATTGATGGGGACTGAAACAAGTCTGAAAGCGTCCTCGCTACCGCTGTACACATTATGGCCTTCAGGATCAATGTGCACGGCGGGCTCAATCGACATATACTCAGCAGGTCTAACGTGAAACTCTTCAGCGATTCCAGTTTCCTTGGAAACGGTGATTAAAGGCTGGCTTCTGGAGGGACCCCCATGGGCATCTATCTGCACATGAAGACTCCGCTGAGCCACGATAAGTAAGGGTAACAGTGATTCTGCATAACGACTCCTACAATGAAAGGGAAGAGGATCAACGGAGGTTTCTGGGTAACTAGACTGCGAGCAGTCCCTCAGGATGGTCCCGCGAGCGAGGAAATCGAGCGAAGCGAGCGAAAGTAAAAAACAAGAAGCCGAGGGAGTCTACTGAGTAACTGATCACCTACCCCTCCCTTAAGTCATAGTTTTGCCCTAAGCGGGAAGTATGTATTAATGTTGACTTTGATGAGGGATGGGTGGTCAGTAACCCAAAAACCTCAATTGATACCCAATAAGCTACAGTTGTAGGCTATTGTAGGCTAAGATTTCATATACATGACATAATTTGCCCACTCTTAAAAAATAGTGGTCATTTCTTTGAGATAATTTTGCTTTTGAAAGTCGATATTCCTCAGCATTTAGAAACAGACTGATGACCTTAGATTGCAGTTTGAAAGATCT